ATGTAAGTCTAAAGTTCAACAGACTACTAAAAGTTCAACAACTACTGAAACATGAAAAAAATCAAGTAGGCAAAGATCAAAGGGTAGAAAAATAATATATATTAAAGGATATCTTAGATTATCATAATTTGTCTCTAGCCTATATGCCTAAGACAGTACTTTTGAAAATGCACAGCAAAATATTAGTTGATTTGATTACCTGTTCAAAAATCATAAACATGAGATCTGATTCCACATATACCATTTTCCACACATTTCCTATTCTTTGGATATATGGAAATAATCTAAGCTACAAAAAATGCTTCATATCTAATGTACTGAAACAAGTTAACATAAAAAGATATTTGTAAACTATGGTTCTCTACAAATCAAAAGGATTATACTATTATCTCAACGAGAAACAGGGTGACAAATAGCACTATTCCTATTTTATTGATAATGCCCGAACCAAAACAGAGAGCTTCACCAGATTTAGTGTGCTTTGCTTATGGATTAAAGACCTTTTATCATTTAGGTTTCTAACGCCAAACATTTTATTATATTGCAGTTACATTAATGACAAATACATTTTAATAAATCAAAACCACACAACTGGAACCTGAATAGTGTGTATCAATGAAAAAAACAGTGGAAATAATGCTTTTTGGGGTAGGGGACGACATCTACATCAGACCTCAGGATGGTTACAAATTATCAGAAAATATAACAGAAAAATAAACTTCACAAGATTCTGTATTCATTCAGGAACTCAGCAAATCTCTTTAATGGTGAACTTCTATATGCCAAGCCCTCTTCTGGATGTTGAATGTGTGGGTAGGGGGTTGGAGGGGTGATTGGTGGTGGTGGCAGCAAATTGGTAAGGATAGGCCTGGCTGATCCATGCACAGGAAATAGGCCGCGGGCAAATCCTAAGACAGGAGACCAGTAGGAGATGAGGTCAGAAAAGTAATGGGGAAGAAGGCAGGATCATGTACGGCCTTCTGGGCCCAAGAACTTTGGACTGAACTCTGAGTGAAACAGGAAGTCGCCTGAAGGTTTTGAGCAGAGGAGTAATACAATTTATTTATATTTTATTAGGATCACTCTAGCTGCTGTGCAAAAAAGAGAGATGTAGGGGGACAAGGAGAGAAGCAGAGAAATCTTGTGGAAGGCTTTTGAATTAAATTAGATGAGACATAAAGGTAACCCGGATCAGCACTGGATATGATCAGATTCTAGATATATTTTGAGGACAAGAGGATTTCCTGATGAGGAGTCAAGGATGACTCCGAAGAGTACAGAGTAGGTAACAATGGAGACGGAGATGGGGCAGGTGTTAGAAAGATTGAGAATTCGGTTTTGGTTGTGTTGAGTTTGAGATGACTATTAAGAATCCAAGGGGAGATACTGAAAAGGCAGTTGGATATAGGAATCTGGAGTTCAAGAGAGAGGTATAGGTTAGAGACATAAATTTGAGAACTGGGGGCACAGAGATGGTATTTAAAGCTATGAGACTGGTGGAAATTATCAGGAGAGTGAGACTACACAGTGCCAAGGACTAACCCGGGGTCACACCAATGTTAAGAAAAATGGAAGAACTTGCAGAGGAGACTAAGTATGAGTACCTATGAGAGAGGAAGAAAATCAAGTGAGCATGGTGTTCTGGAAAATGAGAGGAAAATGCATCAAGGAGGAAATAACCAACTGTGTGAAATGCTGCTGATAGGACAAGATGAGGATAGTAACTATCCATTGGATGTAACCTCAAAAAGGTTATTGGTAATCATGACCAGTTTTAGCAAAATGGTATGAGAAAAAGTCCAAAAGGAGGAGGTTTAAAAGAGAAAGGGAGAAGAGGTATTGAAGATAACAAAGACAGTTGTTTCAAGGAGTTATTCAGAGAAGAATAAAGATACCCAATAGTGGTGGCAGGAAAAGTGGAATACAGAAGAGGATTCTTTTTTAATTTTTTTTTTCCCCCAGATGGAGTCCCGCTCCATTGCCCAGGCTGGAGTGTAGTTGCCTGATCTCAGCTCACTGCAACCTCTGCCTCCAGGGTTCAAGCAATTCTCCTGCCTCAGCTTCTTGAATAGCTAGGATTATAGGCATGCACCACCACGCCTGGCTAATTTTTTGTATTTTAAGTAGAGACGGGGTTTCACCATGTTGGCCAGGCTGGTCTCATGATCCGCCCACCTCGGCCTCCCAAAGTGCTGGGATTACAGGCATGAGCCACTGTGCCTGGCCTAAAAAAATTGTTTAGATACATAATATTTGTGCATATTTATGTGGGTAACATGATATTTTGTTGCCTGCACAGAATGTAATGATCAAGTGAGGGTTATTTAGGGTATCCATCACCTTGAGTATTTATCATTTCCATGTGGTGGGAACATTTTAAGCCTTCTAGCTATTTTGAAATAGACAATACATTGTTAACTATAGTCACCCTACTTTGCTAACAAACATTAGAACTTATTCCTTCTATCTAACTGTATGTTTGTACTCATTAAACAACCTTTCTTCATAAGCCCTATCCCACCCACACACACTTCTTAAGTCTCTGGTGTCTATCATTCTACTGTCTACCTCCAGGAGATCAAGTTTTTTAGCTCCCACATGAGAACATTTGATATTTGTCTTTCTGTGCCTAGATTATTTCCAATTCCATCCATGTTGCTACAATGACATGTTTTCATTCTTTTTTAATGGCTGAATAGTATTCCATTGTGTACATATACCTCATTGTCCTTATCCATTCATCTGCTGATAAATACTTAGGTTCACTCCATATTTTAGCTAGTATGAATACTGTTGCTATAATAATGGGAGTACAGGTATTCCTTTAATATACTGATTTCCTTTCCTTTGGATAAATACCCAGGAGTGGGATTGCTGAACTGTCTGGTAGTTCTAATTTTAGTTTTTTTACAAATCGCCATACTGTTTTCCATGGTGGCTTTAATTTACATTCCCACCAACCCTGTATGTCACCTTTTCTTCTCATCCTCACTAGCATTTGTTATTTTTCATTTTTTTGTCTTTTTAATAACGGCCATTCAAACTCTCAGGAGATTATATTTCTTTGTAGTTTTTATCTGCATTTTCCTGATGATGAGTGATATTGAGGATTTTTTCATATACCTGTTGGCCATTTGTATATTTTCCTTTAAGAAATGTCTATTCATGTTCCTTGCCCACCTTTTAATGGTTTTTTGTTTTACTGTTGAGTGGTTTGAATACCTTGCATATTTATTAGTCCCTTGTCAGATGGGTACTTTGCAAATATTTTCTCCCACTCAACAGGTTGTCTCTTTACTTTGTTGACTATCTCCATTGTTGTGCAGAAGCTTTTTTTTTGAAACAAGGTCTCACTCTGTTGCCCAGGGTGGAGTGCAGTGGCACAATCTCGGCTCACTGCAACCTCCACCTCCTAGGTTCAAGTGATTCTCTTGCCTCAGCCTCCCGAGTAGCTGGGATTACATAGGTGTACCACCATGCCCAGATTTTTGCATTTTTAGTTTTTAGGAGAGACAGGGTTTTACTATGTTGACCAGGCTGGTTTTGAACCCCTCACCTCAAATGATTCACCCGCCTCGGCCTCCCAAAGTGCTGGGATTACAGGCGTGAGCCACTGCACCTGGCCCAGAAACTTTTTAATTTAGTATCAACTCAGTAGTCTATTTTTGTTGACTTTGCTTTTGAGATATTAACTATAAAATGGCTGTCTACGCCAATGTCCTGAAGGGTTTCCCCTATGTCTTCTTCTAGTAGTTTTATAGTTTGGGTCTTACATTAAGTCTTTAATCCATCTCAAGTTGATTTCTGTATGTAGTGCAAGATAGGGGTCCAGTTTCATTCTTCTGCATATGGATATCCAGTTTTCCCACCATTTATGGACAATGATGTCTTTTTCCCAATGTATGTTCTTGGCACCTTTGTTGAAAATCAGTTGGCTGTAAATATGTGGATTTATTTCTAGGTTCTTTATTTTGTTCCATTGGTCTGCTTCTGTTTTTATACCAATACCATGCTGTTTTGGTTACTATAACCTTGTAATGTATTTTGAAGTCAGGTAGTATAATGCTTCCAGCTTTGTTCTTTTAGCTCAAGATCACTTTGGCTATTTGCCTTCTTTGGTTCCACATAAATTTTGTGATAGCTTTTTCTATTTCTATGAACAATGACATTGGTATTTCGATAGAGATTGCACTGAATCTGCAGACTGCTTTGGGTAATACAGTCATTTTTACAATATTAATTCTTCATGGGCATGAGATGTTTTTCCATTTGTTTGTCTGAAGAGGAGGACTCTTTAAAGTTTTTTTAGGGCATGGTTCTGTGTGCTGATGAGTCATCCAGTAGAGAATAAAACTTGAGAGGAAGGAACTGCTAAAGTGATGCCCCAAGTACGTTAGAGGGGATAAGGTCTAGTGGATAAATCTGTTTTAGATAGAAGCAAAGATAACCAACTTATGGTAACAGGGAGAAGGCAGATATGGTGGTGCAAGGGGGAGATAGGCATAGATGAAGGTTGGACTCTAAAGAAATTCTCTCACTGCCTTAGTTTTCTCAGTTGAAGAAAATTATATTTCAGGTAATGTAATAAGCAAACACAAAGAGCAAAAACTACTGATCTTCAATAATTTGCCTTATTTCACCTGCTCATATTAACCCATTTTACTTTCTTCTCTTAATGATGGTGATCTGTTTGCACATATAACCAAGCTAGGAAAATGTATGTATCTGCCAATAGTTCTACACATGTTTGGCTCACAAATAAAACTATGTGATCAACAGAAAGGTTGATGAGTTAATCAGATTTATGTTCATGCCCTGGTAGAAGGTTCATTTACATGATAATAAGTCATTTACTTCAAGTTTAAGATTATAGTACACCATTATAGGTTTTCCTCTAACAAGAAAGAGTAGTCCAAAATTTCACAAGTAAAATGTGGTTTTCACAACAGGGAGTTAGACTTTGCTTATATGGAGGAACACAAGTTTTCAAGGGGACTTACCAACAGTGGTCACAGGAGGCTGGGAAGGGTACTGAGAACTTGTTGTGGCAGGATATGGACCACCAGGTGGGTAAGGACAGCCTGGGTAACCACTAAAGACAAGGACAAAAAACATTTAACATTTAAGATGACCCAACGTTATAGTATTTTTTAAGAACCCCATTCAGGAAGTTAAGCTTGACATATGGTTATTTTACCAGTTGATGAATTTATAGTTTTAGAGCTACAAGTGTTTATTCAATTAAAGTTCTATGGAAATTGTATTAACGACACTGGATTTACTCTTAAATGGTTAAATGCTCTTGCTTGGTCTCAGTTATATGAGTCTCACCTTCAGAGCAGCGGAAACGTAACTAGAGTATTTCTTTTTTTTTTTTTTTTGAGACAGAGTCTTGCTCTGTCGCCCAGGCTGGAGTGCAGTGGCCGAATCTCAGCTCACTGCAAGCTCCACCTCCCAGGTTTATGCCATTCTCCTGCCTCAGCCTCCCGAGTAGCTGGGACTACAGGCGCCTGCCACCTCGCCCAGCTAGTTTTTTGTATTTTTAGTAGAGACGGGGTTTCACCGTGTTAGCCAGGATGGTCTGGATCTCCTGACCTCGTGATCCACCCGTCTTGGCCTCCCAAAGTGCTGGGATTACAGGCTTGAGCCACCGCGCCCGGCCTGTAACGAGAGTATTTCTAAGGACAATCCAACAGCATCAGAAGCAACAAGTAATTTGTGAGAGAACTTTTCTGATTTCTCAGTCTGTGGGAAAATGATACTATTTAATTTTTACCTGTGGCTTATTGGTAACCTTTGAGGATATTTAACCCGGAAACAGTTTTCTTTTCCTCTTTTGATAACATTCATACCAAACTCGTCTTTAAATAGTTTTAAAAAAACCTTTTTTCTCGCTTTCTGGACAGTTTCTGTCATTCATGTGTTCATATCAAAGTCAGAGGAACTTTCCTTAGAGGTATTCTACTCCAATCACCCTTGTAACAATCTCTTACCTATATACATCATTTATAATATCCCTGACAAATGGTCATCTTTCTCTATTTAACATTAAACATCATTTCAATATACTTTATAAATAGGAGTCCTAAATTTGCATTTTGGAAGATCACTCAACTATTTGGAGACTCCTAAAACTCAAATATTTGAGAACTTCTAACATTTTTCCCCTCAAGCTTCTCTTCTTCAGGTTAAATATTCTTTTTTTTTGAGACGGAGTCTCGCCCTGTTGCCCAGGCTGGAGTGCAGTGGTGTGATCTCAGCTCACTGCAAGCTCCACCTCCTGGGTTCATGCCATTCTCCCACCTCAGCCTCCCGAGTAGCTGGGACTACAGGCACCCAACACCATGCCCGGCTAATTTTTTGTATTTTTAGTACAGACGGGGTTTCACTGTGTTAGCCAGGATGGTCTCAATCTCCTGACATTGTGATCCACCCACCTCGGCCTCCCAAAGTGCTGGGATTACAGGTGTGAGCCACCGTGCCTGGCCCTAAATATTCTTAATTCCTTTAACCATTTGTCCCAGGACATGATTTTCAGATCTAATTGCTTTCCTCTGAATGCTTACTCGTCAGTGTTTCCCTTACAATGAAGAAGAAAATTAGAATAGGATGATTACTAGCTGCCTGGTTAGTTGGACAATAAATCTCAATTAATCCTACTTTACCTACAATTGTCAATTCTATGACATTTGCCTTTTACAAGCTCATTAAAATTACTGATTAAAAAGAGCCAGCCCAGACTGAGTGCAACGGGTCATACCTGTAATCCTAGCATTTTGGGAGGCTGAGGCAGGTGGATCACTTGAGTCCAGGAGTCCAAGGCAAGCCTAGACAACATGGCGAAACCATTGCTACAAAAATAGAAAAATTAGCCAGGTGTGGTGGCACACATCTGTAGTCCCAGCTACTCGGGAGGCTGAGGTTGAAAGATCACCTGAGCCCAGGAGGTCGAGGCTACAGTAACTGAGATTATGCTACTGCACTCCAGCCTGGGCGATACAGTGAAGCCCCCGTCTCAAACAAACAAACAAACAAAAAAAACAAACAAAAAAAAAAAACAAAAAACAAAAAAAAATCCTAGCCTAGAGTACTGGAGCAAGAGCTCCTTCTGAGTTTATGGTCAATAATCCTCTTTCAATGCAGTGGTTCAAACATTCTCCTATTTGTGTTATCAGCTTCCACTTTATAACTTGTCCTCAACAAAGTTTTATATATGACTTGCTGAAGATTCAATGTAATCATGGTACTTCTCTTATATATCAGTGTAAGAGCAAAATCAGGGGGGAAAAAAAGCATTTTTGTTCCTAGTGGACACACGCTGGAGGCTACTAAACACAGTACTTTTGTTTCTAGTCTCTTCAGTAGTCCATACTATAATGTTGTAAAGAAATGTCAATCTTACTGAAATTTCTAAATCTACCGTTTTGAAAACTGGGATAAACTGCTCTTTTGTTTCTGGAGTTTCTCCCATTTTGCATACCTTTGCAAAGACAATGTGATCACATTGCTGAATTTTTCTGTAACTTGGTATAAAACTCTTCTAAGCCTATAGATATTAACTTCAGAGAAATCTCCATCTGTAGCCTTATTGTTCAGAAGTCCATTTCAATAGCATATCTTCAACAATTATTCCCTCTTATGTCCAAACCTCCTTTTTACTAGCAATTATTCAGTAGAAAGACTTGTAATTTCAAGGCTTCAGGTAGGATTCCATTTCTAGAACTTAATCAGAAATTTTAGGGCCTCAAGAAATCTAAAATGTATAACCTGCTTATATATTATTACCAAAGGAATCTTTCTCTATTGTCCCTGACAAATGTTCTTCTTTTTTTTTTTTTTTTTTTTTTTGAGACGGAGTCTTGCTCTGTAGCCCGGGCTGGAGTGCAGTGGCCGGATCTCAGCTCACTGCAAGCTCCGCCTCCGGGTTTAGGCCATTCTCCTGCCTCAGCCTCCGGAGTAGCTGGGACTACAGGCGCCCGCCACCTTGCCCGGCTAGTTTTTTTTGTATTTTTAGTAGAGACGGGGTTTCACGGTGTTAGCCAGGATGGTCTCGATCTCCTGACCTCGTGATCCGCCCGTCTCGGCCTCCCAAAGTGCTGGGATTACAGGCTTGAGCCACCGCGCCCGGCCGACAAATGTTCTTCTAATCTCTGCTTACCTATCCAAAGTGACAGAATGCTTATTACCTTCCAAAAAGTTGTGAAATTAAGATAACCCAGAAATGAAATGTTTGCTAAATTAACTTTCAAAATCCTAGATATTATATATGTACATATATATATTTACCTATGATGTGTTCAGAAATCTGGCTGCATTTATCCATAAGGATTATGACTGGGTTATATGAAACTAAGAAGAGTTAGAAGACTGAAATTTCCTTGCTAATTGTTAGAGCAGCTGGAAGTCTCATCTTGGCATCAGTATATGCCAATCTTCTTTTTTTTTTTTTTGAGACAGGTTCTCACTCTGTTGCCCAGGCTGGAGTACAGTGGTGCAATTATGGCTCACTGCATCCTCGATCTGTAGCTTCAAGTGATCCTTCCACCTCACCCTCCCAAGTAGCTGGGACTACAGGTTCACACCACCGTGCCTGGCTAATCTTAATTTTTTTTGTAGAGATGAGGTCTACTATGTTGCCCAGGCTGGTCTCTAACTTCTGGGCTTAAGCGATCTTCCTACCTCAGCCTCCCAAAGTGCTGAGTGGAATTTTAAGTTAGCCCAAAGACCACCTTTGGAGAGTACTCCTAGATTACCACTGAAACAAGTATACATTTAAAACATGGGTTAGTAATTATCATTGACTTTCTAGTGTGTTATTAACAGACTGATTTCATTGTTAATTTAATTTAGTTACCTACGTTATTACTAAATGGATAATAAAGGTTGATAGTACAGGTAGTCTATGAATTAAATTTAGTTACCTATGTTATTACTAAATGGATAATGAAGGTTGACAGTACAGGTAGTCTATGAATTAAATATGACACGACAAGTTTGACCCCATTATCTGAACTATTGATTCCTGCAATGTATAGAAAAGATACGTTGTACGGTTTTATTTGAGACAGAGTCCTTGCTCTGTTGCCCAGGGTGGAGGGTAATGGCGCAATCTTGGCTCACTGCAACCTCCACCTCCTGGGTTCAAGCAATTCTCCTACCTCAGCCTCCCAAAGAGCTGGGATTACAAGCATGTGCCACCACGCCTAGCTAATTTTTTATTTTTAGTAGAGATGGAGTTTCACTGTGTTAGCCAGGCTGGTCTTGAACTCCTGACCTCAGGTGATCTGCCTGCATTGGCCTCCCAAAGTACTGGGATTACAGGTGTGAGCTACCACACCTGGCCTTATTGCTAGAATTTTAAGGTGTGTGTGTGTATAGTCTGAAAGGAGTTTCTTTCAATCTAGAGAAAGGCAGCTCCTGGGCTGTATTTTTATTTTACAGAGGAAAGAAATGGGGTGAGTAATGACGATGATCTCAATTGGTTTTTGACCTTGAAGTCCTTGTTATTTCCCTTTTAAGAAATTTGTATATCTAGTATAGATAGCTGAAATATTAATGGAATGTTAGTTACAATGAATTCAGCCAAGGGGAAAAATATTTTATAATACCCTCTTTAAAAAAAAAAAAAAAAAAAAAAAAGACATAGGCTAGGCGCGGCAGCTCACACCTGTAATCCCAGCACTTCAGGAGGCTGAGGCAGGCGGATCACAAGGTCAGGAGTTCGAGACCAGCCTGGTCAACATGGTGAAATCCTGTCTCTACTAAAAATACAAAAATTAGCCAGGCGTGGTGGTGCATGCCTGTAGTCCCAACTGCTAGGGAGGCTGAGGCAGGAGAATCACTTGAACCCGGGAGCTGAGACTGCACCACTGTACTCCAGCCCAGGCAACAGAGAAAGACTCCGTCTCAAAATAAATAAATAAATAAATAAATAAATAAATTCCAGCAATAAACCAAATTTTATCTTCCACTAAATTGCAACTAAATTTATTTTAATGCCCTAATTAGCAAATTATTTTGATTCTAGATCTAATAGAAGAATTTGTAATACAATTATTCAAAAGATAACTTTTCATTACCTGGGATTGGGAGGGTATCCGGATGGGTATGGAGAGATTCCACCTGGCATGCCTGGCATGTAGGAAGCTAAAAACAATTTTTTCACATTGTAAAAATAATATACAAGGCCTGAATAGGTAGGCTACCGAATAAGATATACATCACACTGTCAATACACAGCAAAATTTCACACAGTTAAAAAATCCAATTCTCAGCACCAAAACAAAACAAATACCTTACCCTTTCATAATCCTCAAATCATTGAACATGAATTACAATACTTACGACAACCCCAACCAAAAGAACTGGCAAACAGGTCAACCTGGTCAGCTTTTAAAGTTCTCAAGAAGTCTATAACCTGAGATAAGAGCAGGTTTAATTTCAAATTTAGAGGAAGGTAATTCTGGCCTCCTTTGGTCCCAGGTTAACTTCTTAGAGAGTAACTTCTTTATTATAGCTAATAAATCTTTTGATATTTCTTTTGTAACTGTTGACCAGTTTTAGTACAGCTGATTTTGTTGGCTTGTTTGAAGATTTTAAGAGACTTCAAATGAGTCTCTTAAAAATGAGAAGTCCTATACAAAACTTACATTATCCAGACTGTTAAAAACTAGTCTAGGTGACAGAGTGAGACCCTATCTCAAAATAAAGAAACAAAACAAAAGCTCAGAAATACTAGGGATAAAAGGTTAAAATCCAGCAAGCTTAAAGAATACTTTATATATTCTTTAAAGAGAACATGAATGCCAAAGAACTAAGATCAGTGGTGCCAAGAGGCTAATCAACATAGAGGAAGAAAAAGAGAAGTTAATCTTGACCTTAACTGACAAAAAAAAGAATAAAGAATCAGCTCTGGAGTGTTTAATGTGACTTACAGTGACTGAGTACAAAACTGAATTGCAACAGTGACAACAGTATGGTCTCTTTCTTGAATACTGCACTTCCAACGTAAATGTAAAACTCAAAGAAATTAGGGGAAAAAAATGTTGCGGGCCGGCCGCAGTGGCTCACGCCTGTAATCCCAGCACTTTGGGAGGCTGAGGCGGATTACTTGAGGTCAGGAGTTCGAGACCAGCCTGGCCAAAATGGCAAAACCCTGACTCTACTAAAAATACAAAAATTAGCCGGGCATGTGGTGGGGGCCTGTAATCCCAGCTACTCAGGAGGCTAAGGCTCAAGAATCACTTGAACCCAGGAGGTGGAGGTTGCAGTCAGCCCAGATCATACCACTGCACTCCAGCCTGGGTGACAGAGGAAGACTCCATCTCAAAAAAAAAAAAAAAAAAAAAAAAAAAAAAAAAAAAAGTTGCTTAAGAGACTACCTGAGTTTCTGAAAAGGTTACTTTTGTCATAGCAGTCACTAGCTATATTATCTGAGCAAATAAACAAAGGTAACAAGACTAGGAAATATTTGGTATCTTTTTTTTTTTTTTTTTTTGGTATGAAGTCTTGCTCTGTCACCCAGGCTGGAGTGCAGTAACGCAATGTCAGCTCACCACAACGTCTGCCTCAGCCTCCCGAGTAGCTGGGACTACAGGCATGCACCACCACATACCTAATTTTTGTATTTTTAGTAGAGACAGAGTTTCGTCATGTTGGCCAAGCTGGTCTTGAACTCCTGACCTCAGGTGATCCACCCCCCACCTCGGCCTCCCAAAGTGCTGGGGCTACAGTCATGAGCTACCACACCCAGCCAAATATTTAGCATTTCAAACTTAAGCAAGGTACTCTACTCTCGGGCACTAGAGTCAACAGAATTTAATAAGATAAAAACAAATTTCTGATCCACAAGAATTACCAGTATCTTTACTAAAAGAAATAGTAATCCTAAAATCAAGCTTATTCTGGGAAGGTAGGGAAGGAAAGAGAAATGGGTTAAAAAATTATTTCTGTTAAATTCCCATTTGGCTTATAAACCAAGATGTTCCTCAGGAAAGAATGGATTAAAAAGGAAAAAGTATAATTTTCAGCAGAAGAAAAATGAAAGCACATATAATTTGTCTTGTAAGATAAACAAGTTCGGTTAATTATAACCTTAAAGAAAATTTACCAAAAAAAGAAAAAAAAGAAGTCACAGCTCAAAACACAATGAAATCAATACAGATTTAGCAATTTCAAAATAAGTACAACCAACTCACAATTATTCAGAGTGATTTTTAAGTATCAGTAAGAATTATTCAAGAAAACAGAGATAACAGAGATAATATATTCCAATTAGGGGAGAGGCGATACTGTCTCCATGCTCCCACCACTCCACACGAGGTAAAATCATGAATTGGCTGTACGAAAGAGAAGAAAGCTAAGAGCTAGATGTCCAATTGTGTATACCCAGAATAGCTGAATGTGAATGCTTCAGTTGACTTTAATCCTTATCTACAACTCTGATTTTGTAGTTGCAAACAGAAAGGAGAGGTCAGACTACCTTTCAAGTTATATGTGCTTCCAAGCTGATCAAATAAGGCTATTCTGCAGCATGCATAATTTTAAAAATTCTAGCTCTATTCTACACTTTCTCCTCCATTTTGGAATCCAGCACAACCATTCTTAGATTTCTACCTACAAATGGAAGCCCAAATGCCAGTCTTTGGTGGGAATCTGTACATGCAGATGTGGGGCCTCAGAATACTTCCAAAAAATCCACTAGCTTGGTAAGCTAAAAAGCAAAGAGGTCATTAATTTTTTTTTTCTTTTTTTTTTTTTTTTTTTAACAAAGGTTTCTGTTCTCTTTTGTTTATGTGAGTTTTAAAGTAAAATCTCAATTCTACTTACTATTTGGTGGCCCCGTTGCCTGGTATGGTGGATAGGATGCCGAAATAGGACGAGAGAAGACTGGAGGTTCATCTCCAAATACCACAATCATGACCTGAATAAGCCCCAACAAGTCTGACTGTGGCTAAAAAATGAAAAAAAATTCAAGTCAGCTACAGTCGCTTTTCAGTAAAAAGAAAAAGGTTGGCCATTTCTCATTGGTTTTCAACTCAGCTTGACAATTTTCTTTGTAGGAAAGAATTTCATTTAATTAATTTATTTTAATAGAGTTAGGTGGTTTTAAACATGATGTGCAGCAAGGTTCTTGCTTCAAGTATATAAAAATAGCACTAAAGCAGCATATTGCAAAATTCATAGTTTTGTTCCTCATTTGACTCCACAGAACAAAAATTTATTTTATTGCCACTGCACAATTTATTATAAGTATACTGATACAAATTTAGGGATGAATATGAGCAACAGTCACAATATTATTTAAGGTCATTAAAAGACATCAATGATATCTTGGAAATACGTGTTCTTAAAATTAATTTTTATTAAAGATATTATGAACTCTGAAATTACAGGTAGATTACAGCCAAGTGAGGTGGTTCACATCTGTAATCCCAGTGCTTTGGGAGGCCAAGGTGGGTGAACTGCTTGAGGCCAGGAGTTTGAGACCAGCTGGGCCAACATGGCAAAATCCCATCTCTACTAAAAACACAAAAATTAGACGGGGGTGGTGGTGTGCGCCTGTGCTCCCAGTTACTGAGGAAGCTGAAGCAAGAGAATCGCTTAAACCCCAGAGGCAGAGGTTCCAGTGAGCTGAGATTGCACCACTGCCCACTGCCCTCCAGCCTGGGCGACATAGCAAGACTCTGTCTCCAAAAAAAAAAAAAAAAACCGAAAAAAAAAAGCAAAACTTATACGTAGATTCTAGCTTAGAAATTGCTAGACTGTAGTACAAAAGGGGTGAATTGTTAAAGGTGTTAAAAGATCTTTCCTTCTAACAACAATGACAAAGAGACTGCCTATTTTTTCGTAAGAGTTATTAAGATTTTCTCTCAAATACCTATTGACCGCTGGTCAGTGGTGGTGGCTTACACCTGTAATCCCAGCACTTTGGGAGGCCAAGGCAGGAGGATCAAATAAGGCTATTTCGCAGCATGCATAATTTAAAAAATTCTAGCTCTATTCCAGCACTTTCCTCTCCATTTTGGAATCCAGCTTGAGCTCAGGAGTTTGAGACCAGCCTGGTCTCTACAAAAAAATAAAAAACTGTATGTGGTGGCATGCGCCTGTAGTCCTAACTACTCAGGAGGCTGCAGTGGGAGAATCACCTGATCCAGGAAAGTTGAGGCTGCAGTGAGCCATGACTGTGCCACTGCACTCCAGCCTGGGTTAGAGTGAGACCCTGTTTCAAAAAAACAAAAACAAAACCCAACAACAACAACAACAAAACAACAAAAGTATCTACCAACCACTAATTAAACTGTGCTAGTCAAAGTTGCTCAAAATGGCTTGATGATTCTTCTTTTACTCCTTAATCTATTTTGTGTGTATCTAATCTCACATACTTCATTCGTAAGTTCACTGAGTTCTGAAGAATTACTCAATCACCTTGATAGGCTAACCATCTTCACAGAAGCTACTTTTTACATCCCCCTTCCCCCCACACAAGGTCTTACCATGTTGCCCAGCTTAGACTTGAACTCAACAATCTTCCTGCCTCAGTTTCCCAAGTAGTTGGGATTACAGGATTAGGACTGGCACTTCCTTTAATACTCCTGACAAAAGACTTCGGGGGCAGTTTTCACCTTTTCCAAAGAACCAAACTCACCTCATTTGTCCAATTTTGACCTAACTTATGGAAGATGACAATGAATAACATTTCTTAAAGCTTTCTGTGAAAACTTGTTGATCTCTGCTGTTCCAATATTTTTCTTGTGTTGCCTGTAAATTCATATACTGAGACTCAGGGTGTTACAAGCACAGTATCTGTGCAGCACTCACAGATACTGTGGCTGATGTGTGTGAGGATGGCCCCTGAGACTACACACTTTCTCAATTTTTCGGCCCAACAAAATTCCTTAACTAAATCATAACCTCATGTAAGCCTCATGCATGTAGGTGATAATTCACATCCCAAAAACGTTCTTTTAAAGTATACATTTCAGTGGCTTTTATTATTTCACAACACTATGCAACCATTACCACCATCTAATTCCAGAATATTTTCATTATCCCAAAAAGAAACCCTGTACTCATTAGTAGTCACTTCCCATTTCCCTTTTCCCACAGCCCTTTAGCAACCACTAATCTACTTTCCGTCTCTATGGATTTGCTTTCCTGAATGTTTCATATAAATGAAATCATACAATATATGGCCTTTTGTGCTTGGCTTCTTTCACTTGGCATAATGTTTTCAGAGTTCGTTAATGTTGTAGTATGAATCAATTCTTCACACATTCTTACAGTTTTGTCAAGGTAAGTTTTAATTATCACACCATTCCTTTTACACTAAATTCTTTGAAGAAAAAAATTAATACCTATGTTAATATCTACTTCCAGGCCAATTATAAAGCAACAGGTTAAGAATTCAAACTGAGGCTAGGCATAATGGCGCACACCTGTAATCCCAGCACTTTGGGAGGCTGAGGCGAGCGGATCACCTGAAGTCAAGAGTTCGAGACCAGACTGGCCAAGGTGGTTTTAGCCCTGTCTCTACTAAAAATAGAAAAATTAGCCAGGTGTGGTGGTGGGGGCCTGTAATCCCAGCTACTCAGGAGGCTGAGGCAGTCTCTACTCTACTGAGTCCAATCTGCTACTAAACCCGTCTACTGAGTTCTTAATCTCTATTATTCTTTTTTTCATTTTTAAGATTTCCACTTACTTTCTCTTTAATAAAATTTACCATTTTGTCCTCTATTTTCTTGAACACACTGATCACAACCATTTCTAAGTCTGTGTCTGATAACTAAGTTACTCGTGTGTGTGTAGCAGTGGAGTAGAAAGATGTCCTGTTTCTATTGTCTTTTTTTCCTCTTGGTTCTCTTTCTTGCTGTACTTGATAAATATAAATTGTATACTAGATATTGTGAAAAATTATAGAGGGTCTATATATTATCTTCTTCCAGCAAGGGTTCACCCTATCCTGTGGCAGGCAGATACACAGTCAGGATCAGGGACTGAGCTGACTCAAGGACAGATTTTTTTTTTTTTTGAGACGGAGTCTCACTCACTCTGCCACCCAGGCTAGAGTACAGTGGTGCGATCTCGGCTCACTGCAACCTCCGCCTCCCAGGTTCAAGTGATTCTCCTGCCTCAGTCTCCCGAGTAGCTGGGATTAAATGCATGCACCACACCACGCCTGGCTAATTTTTGTATTTTTAGTAGAGATGGGGTTTCACCATGTTGGCCAGGCTTGTCTCAAATTTCCGGCCACAAGTGATCCTCCCACCTTGGCTTCCCAAAGTGCCGAGATTACAGGTGTGAGCCACCCCACCCAGCCTCAAGGACAGATTTTTGTAAGGCTCATTCTACCTCTAAGTTCTCCCTCCTAAGATGTGTTCCTCCAGTGGTGCCAACTAACAGCCTAGGATGTTTACTTATTCCCCTTTTTGATAAGGTACTGAACTCCAATTGCCTCCTTAACCTAAGACTGCTGAAAACTTGGCTGATTTTTCAGAGGCTTTCTGCTTAGTTTTTTTTAGCATCTCATCTTTGAAGCTCAGGAATTCAACCTATCTCTTAAGGTGGGAAATTCAGAGTATCTCATCTTTTCTTTTGCTCTGTTGTCCAGGCTGGAGTACAGTGATGCAATCATGGCTCACTGCAGCCTCGAATTCCAAGGCTCAAGTGATCCTTTCACCTCAGCCTCCTGAGTAGGTGTTGTCACAGGCACACATGACCATGCCTAGTTTTTAAAATTTTTTTAATAGAGATGGGGTTCTCACTATGTTGCCCAGGGTGGTCTCAAACTCCTGAGCTCAAGCAATTCTCCTGATTCAGCTTTCCAAAGTCCTGGGATCACAGCCATAAGCCACCATCCCCAGAGCTACTCACTTCTTTACGGCTTCCTTTTCTCCCAAATCTTAGATCTAAAAGTCCTAGTTACTTTGATAGACAGAACAGCAACTTTTGTCTTTTCAGCCCTCTGAGACTGCTAAGAGACTCTGCAGGTTTCTCTGCCTCTTAGTTAAGGTCCTTTGCCCAGATTCTCAGCCGTTCATCCTGCATCAAGAATCAGTAAGTAGGCTGGGCATGGTGGTTTATGCCTGTAATCGCAGCACTTTAGGAGGCCGAGATGGGTGGATCACTTGAGGTCAGGAGTTCGAGAACAGCCTCACCAACATGGTGAAACCCCATCTCTACTAAAATACAAAACTTAGGCATGGTGGGCAGGCGCCTGTAATCTCAGCTACTAGGGAGGCTGAAGCAGGAGAATCGCTTGAACCTGGGAGGTGGAGGTTACAGTGAGCTGAGATTGTGCCACTGTCCTCCAGCCTGGGTGACAGAGTATGAAACTCTGTCTCCAAAAAAAAAAAAAAAAAATCAGTAGGTACCACCCTGGGGGAAAAGGTACTGGCAGAAGTGCCTTTTCTCTACAGAATCTTGGCCATCCATGTCTTGATTGCCTAAACAGCTTTCCAAAACCTTTCAACAGGTGGTGTTTGTATTTTCTCTTGCTTTTCTAGTTACTTTTCATAGGAACATTAATCTGTTACAGTTACATTACCAGACACAGGAACAGAAGTTTCCTACTATTATTCTTGACAGAAATGCTTTGAGTAATGAGATCTGAATTCCATAACTACCCCACCAGCATACTATTTTTTAAAATGCACTTCCTACTATGTGAATCCTGCCTATTTTAAAAGGTTCAACTCAAGCAAATAAAATAGTGAATATAAGTATTCTGAAAATTACAAAGCTCTACACAAACCCATTTCTTTTAGTGAGCCTTTTCTAATTTACCCTCAACTCAGTGATTAGTCCATTATTTGAACTTATCTACCCTACTTGGAATCCTCTTTGAGTGCTAAAAGAAAGCAGATGCTAGTGAGCAAAATATATAAAACATAACTAATTCACAGAACACCATTAATACTTACGTGTTTCCATTCATGTAGATAAGGAAGATATATCTTCCCATTTGCATCAACATGCTTTCCCGTTTTAATAGTCATTGAACTAGTAGGCTTAACAAAACAGATAGGGGGATTATATGGGTATGTGTCCAGTAGCCATAGGCATATTGGAATATTATATGTATTACCTGAAAAAGAAATAGAAACTTCAATTACTCTATTTTTATCATTTTTAAATTGAAGAATGGTTAAAGGAATACAGGTTTAGTTTAGATACAATTTATGCATACATCCGCACCCCCCCATGCCTATTTCCCCCAGCAGAATTTATTTCCTGAGGGGAACAGCAAAGTCAGTAATGTTAAATTTTACTCAGTCTTCCCTAAATTTACACTCGCTTTATACAACGCTGATGCTCAATTAACTGTTTTTTCCCTCTGCTTGTTATGAATGATTGACTTATTATTTAATAGTGGCTCAAATGTCACTTAAACTGTGATCTTCCCATGTGGCCTTCTTCTCCTCTGTAATCTCATAGCACTTTTTCATTTTATAATTCTATAGCAGTTACAGAATAGTGTAAATATCTATCTGTTCCCTTTGTTTCCCCTATTAGTGGAGTTCTTCCAGAAGAGGTACATCCTTTATTCATCTTTGTATCCATAGCTCCTCTCCTTATTGCCTTATGCATAGCAGGTACTATGTGAAATCACTGGGTAAAGGACATAGGTCTTAGCTAGTTACAAGGAATAATTAACAAACAGAGCTGTCCAAAAACAAAATGGTCTCGCATGAAGCTAAATGCTTCCTCACCACTAAGTATTTCAGCAGAGGGTGAAAGACAGGCTAACAGAGATCAATTATCTACCATTAGTATTAGCGCCAACATCACAACCGTAAATAACAGCTACTTTTAACTGTCTCCTTATTACATTCAAGGCTCTATGCCAAGTCCTTCACATTCGTTAACGAATAAATGCTCATTTCCCCAAGTTAGGTACTATTATCTAAATGTCAAAGATGTCCATCTATAACATGTAACAGAACTGCTAAGATTATAGAGCAAGAACTCAAACATAACTCTGTCCTGACTTTGAAGCCTGTATCTTAAGCTTCCCACTGTCAGGAAAGTTTGAATGGTGTAGGAGGCTGAACCAAGAGGCAAGTAAGATCCCTTTCTAGTTCTAAAATTCTTTGATTCTGTGAAACATTAAACTCCTCTGGTGAACTTAGGCACTTATTTGTTCATACATCTTGGTAAGGAAGTTTTAAGAAAGTTGAAAATGTTAGGTGTTGCTGCCAAATGAACTTCAATTTGAATAGAAGTTAAAATCTATATCAGCATGAAAGCCATGAGAAAGTAGGTTTAATTTACTTATAACTCTTTGGCAACATATTTATTATGTATTCAAAATACATCTAGCTGGAAACCTAATAACATAAGACATTTACCTCTATAAGGCACAGGAATTGTTCCAGTGAGGTTCATTAGTTCCCTGGAACTGCCATCATTAAAAACTGAAAGGAAAGAACAATGATTTAATCATGAGCATTTTTTTTAGATACTCCCATAGGTTATTCTTTCAGAAAGACTGGTTAAAATTCATTTTTATCCTTGAAAGGGGCTGACCTGTCAATGTATCATCCATCCTGTCCAATAACTAACAATTCTTTGTTGATTCACTCAATGTCATTGATCAGCTCTTTTTTGTTTTTTTTCAGATGGAGTCTCGCCCTGTCGCCCAGGCTGGAGTGCAATGGTGCGATCTTGGCTCACTGAAACCTCTGCCTCCCGGGTTCAAGCGATTTTCCTGCCTCAGCCTCCTGAGTAGTTGGGATTACAGGCGCGCGCCACCACACCTGGCTAATTTTTTGTATCTTTAGTAGAGACAGTGCTTCACCATGCTGGCCAGGTTGGTCTCGAACTCCTGACCTCGTGATCCATCCGCCTTGGCCTCCCAAAGTGCTGGGATTACAGGTGTGAGTCACTTTTAAAACTATTTAAATATCACTATCGGCCAGGCGCAGTGGCTTGCGCCTGTAATCCCAGCACTTTGGAAGGCCAAGGCAGGCAGATCACCTGAGATTGGGAGTTTGAGACCAGCCTAACCAACATGGAGAAACCCCATCCCCACTAAAAATACAAAATTAGCCAGGCATGGTGGCACATGCCTGTAATCCCAGCTACTCGGGAGGCTGAGGCAGGAGAATGCTTGAACCCGGGAGGCAGAGGTTGCAGTGAGCCAAGATTGTACCACTGCATTCCAGCCTGGGCAACAAGAGCAAAACTCCACTGCAAAATAAACAAACAAACAAACAAAAAACACTATCAAACAATACCATACTAAATGTTCACCTAATGTCATTATACTTTAGAGATCTCTAGACATTTATCCAGACTGTCACTCACAGTTATTTATTATTGTTTTTTGGAGACAGGGTCTTGCTATGTTGTGCAGGCTATCCTCAAACTCTAGGCTCAAGCAATCCTCCCACCTCAGCCTTCTGAGTAGCTGGGACTATAGGCGTGCACTATCATGCCCAGCTTTTTTTCCTATTTTTTTAGAAATGGGGTCTCACTAAGTTGTCCAGGCTGGACTTGAACTCCTGGACTCAAGTGATCTCCTGGCCGCAGCCTCCTTAGCCAGTATTAAAATGAAAAAAAGAAAAGTTCATAGCCAAATGTAGACAATTTCTTTTAATCTGTATTTCTCATACCCCACATATTTTTCTATCTATAATTTATGTCTATACTTAATACAGCACATAGTTTGTATTGGACAGCTATTATTTCTAACAATGATTTGGAATTAACACTATACACATAGGGGAAAGGTTGTAATGTGCAGTACAAAAACATAGAACTATAGCCATCTACTGTGTAATGTTTGGGTCAACAATGGACTGCATATAAGACATTGGTCCCATAAAATTACTATACTATATTTTTAATGTAACTTTTCTATAGTTAGATACAAAAATACCATTGTGTTACAACTGCCTATGGTATGCAGTACAGTAACATCTGGTATAGGCTGTAGCCTAGGAGCAACAGGCATGCCATATAACCTAGGTGTGTAGTAGGATATACCATCTAGGTTTGTCTAAGTACATTCAATGATGAAATCGCCTAATAATGCATTTCTCAGACCATATCTCTATCACTACAAAATGCATGACCGTACATTGTTGACCTTTGTTCTTTTACTTACTGTTGACGAATGTAAGCTACACTGCAATGTATTCTGATTTTGTGCATTTTAAAAAAGAAAACCACCTTATATAAATGTGGGGCTGGCCGGGCGCGGTGGCTCAAGCCTGTAATCCCAGTACTTTGGAAGGCCGAGGCGGGTGGATCACGAAGTCAGGAGATCGAGACCATCCTGGCTAACATGGTGAAACCCCGTCTCTACTAAAAATACAAAAAACTAGCCGGGCGTGGTGGCGGGCGCCTGTAGTCCCAGCTACTCGGAGGCTGAGGCAGGAGAATGGCGTAAACCCGGGAGGCGGAGCTTGCAGTGAGCCGAGATCGGGCCACTGCACTCCAGCCTGGGTGACACAGCGAGACTCCGTCTCAAAAAAAATAAATAAATAAATAAATAAATAAATGTGGGGCTTTGTTTATTCTAAAAGAATTTGGTAACAATGATTTACACTTCGTCCAGCCATATGAAACTACACAAGATTTGATAAGGGAGTCTTTGTCAGTTTTGATCAAAACTGTCATGTGGACAGAAATAAGGTAGGCTGAGATGAGAAGGAATTGTGACCTAGGTTTGGAAGAGGACTTTGGGTTGTCTTTATTGTTTCAGGAAATGCAGAACTGATTGCCCCTCTGTTCCTTCCCACCTCTCTTCACCAGTTTCCTAATGTTTTCAAAGCCTTGGAAGCAAGTGAAATTTAGAAAGTCTCAGCTACAAAATTCAGTTCCTTGCCTTCAGAGTTAAGGGTCTTACAGTGGACAAGCAGCAGCATGGGTTTTCCCTCGGCCCTGGCATATTAAGCATTTTCAAGGAGACATGGTAGAAGAGATTATGTTAGGATTTGGCAGGGACAGAAAAGACTATTTTAAAAAAAGGGAAACTCCAAGCATTGTCATGTCTTACAACTTTATTTTGTCTCAATAGAAAGTAGAGACAAACTGACATGCTTACCTACTCTATAGAATTAAAGACCACATTAAATAATATTTTCCTCAACTATAAAATGAAAGGGACAGTCCAGAGTATAGTTTTGCAAAATGTGTTCCTGAAAATATAAAGAGACACTATGGGGACAGGGAGGTTCAGCAGTTAAGTAACTTTAGGATGTATTATACAATATATTCTTGCTCATCTCAGTGATACACAACACATTAGCATATTAAAGGCTCTGAGAAATCTTCATGCAATAAAACTCAATTTTGTTTAATCCATAAGTTGCTCAAGCTTAACTATAGAATTCTGCCTCTACCCCTGTCCCCAGCACAACTAAGGGTCTAGAGACAAAACTTTGGGAAATGGACTAAACTATCTTTAACATGCCCTCCTAGGTTTAAATTTGCATAGTTCTATGTTAGTAGTTTTTTTTTTTTTTTTTTTTGAGACAGGGTCTTGCTCTGTTGCCCAGGCTGGAGTGCAGTGGCCCGATCTCAGCTCAATGCAACCGCTGCCTCCTGGCTCAAGCAATCCTCCCACCTCAGCCTCCTGGCTAGCTGAGAATACAGGAGTGCCAGGCCAACTTTATGTATTTTTTTGTTGAGACAAGGTTTCACCATATTGCCCAAGCTGGTCTCAACCTCCTGGGCTCAGTGGTCCAACCCATCTCAGCCTCCCAAAGTGCTGGGATTACAGAAATGAGCCACCACGTCCAGCTAGAGTATTTTTTTAACATAAAAAACTAAAACTAAATAAATATAAAATGTTTTTATTAGATCTTCTAATATGCTACCTTCCAACAGTTTTATTAGGTGGTGGTGCAGTCCTACAATTGAAAAATCCACAAACCTCAAAGGAAAATGGAAAAAATTACAATCATTAACAAAGAGAGTAAACTCAAAGTATAGAAATTGATTTTTATTGCATAAACTCACCATATGAATCCAAAACAGGTTTGAGATCTTTGTATAGAGTAATAACATTGACAGTTTCACGTACAGTTAGGTCTCTGTATTTGTACTGAAAAGCAAAATCGCGTAAGAATTTAGTTTAAAACCAATACATGTATTTTAGAGCAGATGAATTTTCTTAAAATCTTTTTCACTAATTGTTAGCATTAATGAAAGCCTGAAAGAACCTAAAAACCCCACAATCCTATTATCACACTAAAATAATCACTATTTCCTTAACATCAGAAAATATCTATAGTCTCAAGTCATGTTTTTTATGTTTTCAGTTTGAATCAGGATCCTAATAAAGTCCACACATTGCATTTGTTAAAATGTCTCAAGTCCCTTTTAATCTATATTCTTTAACTATACCATATAATTCACACATTTAAAAAGTATAGTTCAATGGTTTTTAATACATTCGGAGTTGTGTAACCACCACCGTAATCAACTTCAGAACATTTTCACCATCCCTAAAAAGAAATGCATACCCTTTAGCAATCACCCCCCATTCTACCCCCAGCCTTCATCCTAGACAACCACAAATCTGTCTCTATAGATTTGCTTATTCATACAATGTGATCTTTCATGACTAAATTCTTTCACTTAGCATGTTTTCAAGATTATCCTTGTAGCATTTATCTGTACTTCATTCCTTTCATTTATTTTGGAGACAGTGTCTCGCTCTGTAGCCCAGGATGAAGTAAAGTGGCACAATCACAGCTTACTGCAACCTCAAACTCCAGGCTCAGTGATCCTCCTGCCTCAGCCTCCCAAGTACACAGAACTACAGGTATGTGCCATCATGCCCAGCTAATTTATTTTTATTTTTGTAAAGACAGGGTCTTGCTATATTGCCCAGGCTGGTCTCCAACTCCTGGCCTCAAGCAATCCTCTCGCCTCAGGCTCCCCACGTGTTGGGATTTACAGGCAAGTATGGCCCACTTCTTACTGCACACTTTATTTATCTACTGTTCAGCTGAAAAATACTTAACTGATGGGCACATCTCTATTTTTGCTCCTTAGAATTTATTTGTTAAAGACATTTGTTCATTTGTCTTATAGAGGCTCTCATGGTTTGGAATGTGTTAATTGTATACCTTTAGTATAGTTTCATAGATACATGCTTCTGTGAGTTAGTTGGATCTACAGGTTATTATCCTCACGATTACAAAATTTCCAGCCGGGCATGGTGGCTCACGCTTGTAATCTTAGCACTTTGGGAGGCTGAGGCGGGCGGATCACGAGGTCAGGAGTTCGAGACCAGCCTGACCAACACAGTGAAACCCCATCTCTACTAAAAACACAAAAACTAGCTGGGCATGATGGCGCGCATCTGTAATCCCAGCTACTCAGGAAGCTGAGGCAGAAGAATTGCTTGAACCCGGGAGGCAGAGGTTGCAGCGAGCCGAGATCACGCCATTGAACTCCA